TCCATAAAATTAAAAAAAAAAGTGACATTCATTCGTGATCCGTCAAAGAAACACGTTCTCTGTCCTTCCTTTCTATTCCTCGGTATCGGACCGTGGGAGCGTATCTGCTTTTGACTCTCTCTCTATTTTCTCCCGCCAAAAAAAGAAAAATAGAAAAAATTGTTAGCGTCAGAGACATCTTTATCTGAGGAGGAATATATTAGTCTCTTTTGTTAATTCCTGCACATACTTTAAATTGTCATATTTTTTTCTATCTTTATTTGTTAAAATTTAATTCATTGTGATTGTGATATCTTTTAATTCATCACTCTCCAACCAAAATCCGCCATCACTATCCAAATTGAAATCACAAAATCTTCTGTGCAAATATATATATATATATATATATATATAGGGTCGCACTCCGGTGAGAATGGTTCTCAATGAAAGAAATAAGAATACATCCTAGCTATCCGATCGGATAATCTAACCGCTTAAAAAAACCCAACATTTATACTGATTAAGGGTAAATTGGACATTTTTTAATTACACCAAAGAGAGGCCACACCCATCAGATCCGACCCACCCCACCCCCTCTGTCTTTCACACGGACAAACCCAGAAACACACACACACACACACACTCTCAGACACACTTGCCGTCACAACTTGGCCCGCCGATCACCGCCCCGCCGCCGGCCTGTACCACCTCCGCTGCCGCCATCTCAAAGAATGCCGCCTCCACAAGAGCAGACTACCAGAAGCGACCTCGGCCGCCGCCACTATGCCGCTCGAAATTGTCGAGCCATCTCCAGCCGATCCATTGCCGAAGTTCTTGTCCAGAAGAGGCCCGCGACGCCGCTCACCGGATTCACCGTCCTCCGACGACCTCAAAATCGACCAACAGAGATTCAAACAGATTTGGGCCTCAATTCACAGAAATTCACGGCCGATCTATTCGGCTTTGTCCAAGCATTCTTTCAATCGGTCATCATATCTCTTGATGATGAATAGCACAATTACCAGACTATGGCATTCCGACAGAGCGGAGATGATGGACGTGAGGCCGACGCGGCCGAATATCACCGGCAAAATGGACGGAAAATTCAATTTGGGGGTTTGGTTTTTTTTTTTTTAGGAATAAGAAAGAGATTCTCCCTTCGAGCTTATCTAGTACCACCGATACGATACCAAAAATGTATCTCAAGTGATTCGCTAACTTGCTTCCGTTCCTTCGCTTTCTTACCAGTGACGGATTCAAGATGAAATTAGATAGGTTTGAGGCAATTTCAAGCGGCTGAGTGCATATGGTAGAATATGTAAATTTTAATAAATTTTATTAGTTGATACAATAATAGTTAATTGATATAATTAACTATCTTAATAGTTAATTGAAGTTAATTGAAAACTTTATAAATTTGAATTATATTACAATTTGGTTCATATGTAAAATATGTAATTTAATAGAACTTTGATAATTGCACTTAATTGTACAGTGTATTGCACCATATCACGTTCGAAATTGCACATTACAAATATCACTATACAAACTGCATTGCTAGAAAAAATTGCACTTTAACTATATTACAATTTAGTTCATGGGTTAAATTTGCAAATTAATAAAAGTTGATAATTGCACTTTAATGTTCAATGCATTGCACCATATCACATTTAAAATTGCACATGATTTATAATGTATAATTTGTATCATATATATTAAAATAATGTCTTAAAACATTAAATAAAAATAACTTAAAATGTTAAAGTAATATAAAAAATAATATAGAAAAAAATATAATTTTTTTGAATTAATAATTGAATTTTTATAATATAAATAATAAATTATGTCAATTATTTTAGTATAAAAATAAAAATTAAAATATATAATAATGTCGAATGCACATTACAGTTAGTTGGATTGCATATTAATGCATGTGAGATAGCACACTAATGTATAATTCGCGCAGAAAACTATATAAAAAATACTTTTTTTATATGTTATAGATTACATATTATTTATTTCAATAATTAATTATATAAATTACATTGAAAAACAACGGCCGAAACCATACGAACTAAATTTTTTGTGCGAATTTTCATGTCGGTTTGATTCTCTTTTTTTACTAAAATTTTAGTTATATATATTATTTATTCATTAACAAACCACAATATAAAATATTATATAAAAATAATAAATACTAAATATATTTATACGATATAAAAAAATTGATAAATTCAAAAAATAATGATAATTGAAATATACATTATTGCAGTTTATAAATTTGAAACACATAAAAAATACTCGATCGGTTGATTGCACAATAATGTTAGAAGAATTGCACATTATTGTCTGCTCGATTGCACTTTATAGATTTTCTGATTTTGATATTTTTTTATATTATATTTTCTACTATAAATATTATAAATTATTAAAAATAGATATTAAAATATAAAATTTATTTTATAATATACATAATAATATAAAAATATTTTGCAATAATAAATAAATTATAATAAAAATAATAATTAAAAAATCTATTTTAATTATTTAGATTAATTCAATGTACAATTATACACATAATTTATACATAACTTATATGGGAATGTATAAATTAAATAGTGCACTATATATAACGGAATGCGGCACTGTATAAAACAATACGTTGCACTTTATCACAACATCTATGAAAAACATAAAAATACTAACGTACCAAAATTAATACGTTGCACTTTATACAGTAATGCGTTGCACCTTATAACACAACATGTTTCACCGTATAAAGTCGTTTACGATATTGTTAATGTCTGCTAGGCAGAATATTAACGGCCAAAGTCTTGCACGATATTGTTAGATAAAATGCACATTAATATCTCACATACTCCACCGTATAGCAATCAAAACTAAAACTGACCGAAATATAATTTTCGGTTCAGAACTTTATATGCCGACTTGATTATTGTTTTATATTTTAAAATTTTAGTTAATACGGATCAATGTCGGTTCTATTTACCTTTTTTTTTACATATACTTGTCAACATTTTATATTCATTTAATTTTGAATAATTGAATATAAAACATTTAAACCATTAATTTGTTTATATCATAATTAATTTTTTTTTTTTAAAATGGGTCAATTGATCAAATCTGATTCCATGCTCATCAAAACACATGGGATCCCTTTCTCTGTCCACTTAGGCCCCCAAAAGCTCCATCCCCAAAATTGGTCTCACAAAAAGCCCCAAAAAAGAAAAAAAATCTGATCGTCACCTCCCTTATCCCTTCAAATCGTTGCCGGATGCCACTCTTAGAGTTAGACTCGCCGGAGTTTATGAAATACAGACAACCGCAGAAGCTATCGGAGAAAAATAAATCGTCGCCGGGATTGGGCATATGGAAGACG